TGCTGGCTCTAAGGTGCTCCCCCATGTGAATTGCCTGTTCTACCTTGCTTTCTCTCAGAAGGAGGCTGAGCACTCCAGAGCCCAGGAAATCTGGGTTAGCTTTGTCCATCAGGCCAAAGTATAAACTGGAGCTACCAGAGTCCTTACAGATTAGGTCCAAATTCATTCGCAAAGCCTACCAGCCCCCACTCCCCACCACGATCGGACCCCTTCCTACTCCTCAGGTTCCCTCCTCAAATGCTGCTCCAGTCCTGCTGTCCTCTGTGTCCCCTACTGCACTGTGTCTGTGCCTCCTGGCCTCAGTACCTGCTGTCCTCTACCTAGGAGCGCCTCTTCCTCCATCTCTATTTCCACCTGCCTGCTTAAGCCCTCACGTGGACAACTCCAGTAAGTCTTCAAGGAGGCTCAGATGTCATTCTTTATAGCAAGTCCACTTTGATCACCTTCCCCCAGGAAGTTAAATGCCCTGGTGAAGAGATCAGCCATAGGGCATGTAACCTGCCAGTTGGAGAAAGACAGATCTCAACAGAATGACAGGTCTTCAGTGCTTTGTCAGACTCCTCTCTAAGAACAGCCTTTTGAAGCTGCGAATCAGAGGGTCCCTAGGTCTCTTACTAGGTATCATAGGGTTTCCCCTGCCATGAGTGTCACTGTCCCTTCCCACCTGAATGTCATGAAATTACGTCTCCTATGCAACCACCAGGCAATTCTCAGAGGAGGGCTTAGGTTTCATCTCTGTATAAAGGAAAGCCTGTGATTCTGATGTGCTAGGAAATGTTGAGGAACAGAGGGAACTGAAGCCTGCAGCCTTCAGGGGGCTGCCTCCTCCTTTTCTTCCTGCATTGCAGCTCTTAGTAAACGGTAAAGTCTTATTTTAAATTATGAGTCTTGTCTCTTTTCCCCAGCAGCTCACTTCATAGGTGCTTTCTTGGCACCCCTCCTATTGCCTTCACAATACCACTGTATCTGCTGGTATCCTCTCTAACTCCCCTACCAAAGCATAAGCTCCTCCAAAACAAAGACTGTTTCTTACTTGGGTGCATAATGCACAGCACAGGGCTGACACATCGTCCTTTCTCAATAAATGTATTGAAGGGAAGACTGATTGAATGGCTAGACAGATGCATGGACAAAAAGCCCTGAAGAGGAGACTGAGACTGAAGGAGTGTAAGTGGTTACCCCCCAGGTCCATGATGTCAGCGAATGGCAGAACACAGGACTCCCGTGCTGCCAGAGTTGGCCATACGCAGGATTGCTGAGCACTTGGAATGTCTGTCTTCAGAGCCTAGTTTCCCCTCCCATCCCCCTGGCATTTTCCCAATGACTGGGACCCATATGTCTTCTCAGCTCCTAGTTTAGGCCGAACTTCGACATGCAAACCAGGTCTGCTTTTTTGACTTGATGTAAGACAGGTGGGTAAGCATCTAGCAATGCTAATCAACACTCACAACCACAACCGAAACAACAGCCATTTGTTGGCCAGGCCACATGCTAATTGCATTTTCACTATTATTTCATTTGATCTTCATGCCAATCTTTTGAAGAAAGAATACATGATTCCCATTTTACATATAAGGAAAAAATAAGCAACTCGTTAAGAGCATAGAGTTAGAAATTGGAAGAACACAGAATCAAGCCTACAGGAAGCTGTCTCCCATATTGTAACACAGATTCATGAGAGGCAGTGTTGCTCCAAAGGTCAAGATTTTGAGGTGTAGATGGCCAGCCATGACGGCCCCTGTCCATTTCCCAAACAAAGGCATCCTTTTAAGGCCCCCTGGTGTAGTGTTCTGGACTTTCTCTGAGGTACCTCACCATTTTCCTAACTGGACACAAATATTTGTCTCTCTCCTGAATCATCCCACCCTGGAACTTATCTCCAGCAAACCGGTGAGGGTCATCCTTTATCCAGGCTTGTAAAAAGATCTTGAAGAGTTTCTAATTGGGCAGTTTTTGAAGGCTCAGGGCCAGGACTATGTGATGAGAAAAGCCCCCCACCGGAGCTCTTACTTCTGGTCCCAACTTCGCCAATACCTCACTGTGCATCCTTGAGTCAGCTTTACTCCCTCTGGCCTTAGCTTCCCACTTCAAGAAGAGAAAGGACTGGATTCGATACTCTGGATCAAACAGACATGTATCAGGGGACAAAGCAAATGGCATGAACTAGGAGAGTGAGTGTGTGTAGGTGATGACCCCACCGTTGGTAGCAGGGGGACTGTGGCAGGTGGAGGATGGGCACCTCCTCTAAGAGGTGACCAAGGTGTCACATGGTTATCTTCTAACCCAATCATGTAAAATACCAGCACACTTAGAAAAGGGCCTCCAGTTTACACCCCCACCTTGAGAGGTAGGGGGGTCCCTAATCCAACTTATACTGGTGTTCTCCAATGAAAGAACTGGTGCATTCCGTAAGGCTCCCAGAGTCTGGGTGAGCCACTCCTCTCCAAACCACATCCTGCAGCCTGAAAAGTCAGTCGCACCCCAACACCAATCTGGTCATTGGCTCCAGACCCAGCCAGAATTTTGACATTGAGCCAACCGGGCACCAAGCTTAGAGGAAAGTGAACTCTTTTGGCTTTCTGTAGGGGACAAGAGACCACCTTGCAGGGAACAGAAAAGACAAGATGAATTTAGCAGAGACTGGAAAATAAACACAGCAACCTGACTCATGGGACTGTAAGGGCTGAGAGACCTGGCTTTGGCCTTGACAAAGTACCTCTCCTCAGAGCTTCCCTCTGCAAAGCACAATCATGATCACTTCTGCCCCCTTCCTCCACCTGGCTCCTCCTGTCTTTCAGGATCTGAGACCGGGAAAAGGATTCCAAGATGTGCTAAGTCACCCTAGGCTCCTTGGAGGAAATCGCTGGAGCAATACCTGACATAACTGTGGTTATTCATTATCTAAAATTGGACAGAATGAAGTGCTGTAAAATAATATACTTTAGGGAATGGATCTGTTGAGGCAACAAACGAAATTAAAATCACTGCTATTAAACATTTCCCCATGGCTGGTAACTTTAGATGCCTTCTTTGTTCATGTACTACCTCTTATCGCCAGCTAAAAGGGACTGACTGACGCTCTGCACTGATGCGGAAAGGGACACGGAAGAGGCAAGTTTACTAGGAAAGAGAAGATATTATGTACACTATTACAGAGCACAATTATTGTCACCAAAAGCTGCAATGAGAAGAGTAGAATTAACAGCTGGAACCCAGAAAAGGACCTCAATGAGTCATCAGGTAAGATGTTATTAACCAGGCCCAAAGAGCCTAAGGGACTTACCGAGGGTCCCTCAGCCAGCTACTCAACTTAAATATAAAACCGCTGCTCAAGCCAAGATATAGAGGGAAACAAACAGGAGCTGCTGTTCAACAGCACACACTGTATTTGGTTTAGGAGTCCGAGCTCTGCAAAAAGACTTCTAGAACCCACAAGACCAAGCTCATAGTGTCATGAGGGAAAGAAAAATAAAGAGGTCATGGAAGCCCACATTAGACCATTCTGAGAGGGTTGGGTGATGCTGGGGGATTGAACAACGTGTCGCATAAGGAGGTACCAGGACACCTCCTTACAGATTCAGCCACTTGACTCTCTGTCATAATCTATGTCCCTTCTCCTGAAAGATAATGCTGCATGCAAAGTGCAGGGCAACTGAGAACCTCTGACTCCTTGATTCTTGGTTTTGCAGTGCTCTCAATGTCAAATACAGCCTCAGAAAAGACCTGTCCCATAGTAAGCAAGTTGCAGAGCCTAGACTACATCACCCAGGTCTCCCGAACCCCATGAACTTTGTCCTAAATTTATGTAATATTCAAGCATCTCCACTAAGGCCAAATGAGGTGCAGAATGGTGATCCCTGGTGTTAACTCACAAAGACAACCAGTTGCAGAATAACCACCCTGCATTGCTCCTCTGAGCAAGCAATCACTACCCATAACTCATTCAGCATTCATTCATTCATTCATTCATTCATTCCACCAACACCTACTGAGTCCTTCTGTAGTCCAGGCATTGTACTGCAGTGTAGAGAATGGACTGGCAAGGAGAAGAGCAGAAGCTGGGAAGCCAGCTGCAGGGGCCCAGAAATAATGAAGGTCTGATCTAAGGCAGTGGGGATAAGGAGAAGAAAGTAAAATTAGCTGAGGTTAAGAAAGTAGAATTCGCAGGATTTTTATATAATTTATCTGGGATTGGGGTAGGAGATATGAGAGTCAGGGAGGCCTGTCATGTAGTTCCTGATTTCTGGCTAGCGTGAAGGAGAGAGTGGCAGTGCCCTTCATACAAGGGGAGGAGCCGATGAGCAAGTTTGGAAGAATGGTAAGGAACTCAGTTTCGGTCATGTTGAATATGAAGTGCCTGCAGAGCAATGAGGAAGAGAAATCCAGCCAGCAGTGCATGTCTGGTTGTCACAAGTCATGGAAGAGGATGAAATCATCCAGGAACAGTAAGCTGGAGATGGCATCATTAAGAGGGGGGCAAGGAAGAAGAATCCACATGAAAATTTGAGAGAGAACAGTCATCAGCGATATGAGAGAGGCAGGAGAAAGTAGGGCCTAAGATCCCAAAAAGGAGCAGGTATCAAGAAAAATGCAAGGACCAACAGTAACTAGTACCTTTGGCTGGTCAGGTGAGATGTTAACCCATTGTGGTGGGTAACGAAGGGGGTCTCCAAGACTGGTGGCAAGGGCATGTCAGAGGAGGGCAGTTGCAGGGATGGCCATAGAATCACCCCTTCCTCACGCCCCCAGTGTGGAGCTTGGCTGCTGCACCAAGCATAGTACCCACAGGAATACAACAGCTTGGCTCCGGCCTATGTCCTGAGAGATAAGCCAGGTCCCGGCACTTTAGAAAGAATGGCCCAGCAGGCATACCGGGGGAAACAAAGAAGCATGGCTCTAACAGATTTGAAACTCAATCTTCCCTTTCTTTTTCCTTTACACCTGTATACATTTGGAACAGGCTAGACCTGTGACAGCTCAGTAAGGTTGTGCATCCATACCTGGTCAAACAGGTACCGAAGTAGTGGATTCTCTCCAACATCCAGACCTACAGAGCCCAGAGCCAAGAATCTGGGGCTGCCTCCCCTGGCAGCTGAATAGTAAGCCCTTCACAGTCGCTCCTGCCTGAAAAAGAAAGAGCCATTGCTTTTAGAAGCACAGAAGCCCATGCCGGGGAAAGCGGGAGAGGAAGGAGCAGACTGAGCCAGCAGGTGGAGAGCAGAAACGAAGGCAGAGGTTTCTGGAGGAAGGTTCTATCTTCCCCGGATAAATATTTGCCTGCCCTCACATCCTTTGTTCAAGGCAAGGCCTAGAAGTGGTCAGCTCCCCACCAAACCCAAGTCCAGACTGACAGCACCTTCTTGCTTTTCCCCAAGCCTGCATCTTCTACGCCATTTGCCACCCGGAGGGAAAACATCTCGCATCTTCAGGGGCACACACTCAGCACATGTGGGCATGTCTGGAAGGGGAAGCCGTGTGGAGGATGGCAACCAGCTCATTTCCAACTCCACTGACAACTCACTGAGGGTGAACAGGCACAGTTACCCTGGGAGACACTTGGGACAGGAAGGGATTGACAACAAAGTTTAAGACCTGCACATACTCTTCCTTGTTCAAATGTTCTCATGCCCACTGACTCCGTTTATTTCAGGCACCCCCATCAGGCGGGATAGATTAGGATCACCTCATCCATTCTCAGATGGGTCACTGAGAATTAGAGGGCAGATGGCAGCAGGAACAGGACCGTGGGCTCTGCCTTGGGTTCCCTGCTCTTTCTACACTACCTGGGATGAGTCATCACGGAAAGGGGAGGCAGGTCCTCCGTGGGGCTCAGCACAGAGGCCGGCTTGTCTGACTAGATCACATGGGGTACCGTCCAGAGGCGGGGGAACGGACCTGACAAGCTTGAGACTCTGGTTGCTAATGCCAAAGCAGAGCTGGAAGAAGAAAGAGAGGTGGGCACAGGCGGGACAGAGCTTCAAGAGTCCCCCAAGGAACACCACCAGCTCTGGCCCGGTGGTCGAAGCCCTAGCACCCTGCAGCACAGGTGGCCCAAGCCATTGGTTTGGTTTTCTTCACATCCTGGAATGTGGAGCATTTTATTTTTAACCTTATAATCAATGAATAACCTTATAAACCGTGAATAGAGGAGACCTGGGCAAAGCTGGGGGCAGAGCACCCGCCTGGAGCAAGAGCCCAGGGCCCTGAGTGCCTGCGGTTAGGAGTCAGCTCAGCTTTGTCTCTGGGGACATCACCCACAATGCCTCTCACTCAGATCAGCCAATGATGATGCATCAGACCAAGTGGGGAAAAAAATCTATCGGCTGATCTGAACCAGGGAACTCCCCTGCCTCAGGTGAGGGATTTCAGGGGAACCTCCATGGTCTGTTGCCTCTTGTCGTTGCCGAAGTGCAGCAAGTTCCCACTGGGCCAGGCAAAGCCCTGACTCCTAGTCCTTAGTGAGACTTACATTGTGCCTGTTCAAGAGGACATTAAACTTATACTGTCGTTTATCCCAAAATCTCCTCTTACCCAGTTTGCACTGACTATAAACCCCCTCTCTGCAGTCTGGGTTTGTCCCTCAGCAGTGAGCAGCCAACTGGGACAGCTTAACTACAGCCTTGCTTTGGATGAGGAGGATAACTATGGCCGTTGATTTCCTCTTACAATGGGACTAGTAGCGTTCATAGAACATGCTTCATACTGGAAAGGTGCATGCAACATCACTCATAGAACAAACTGTTTTAAACCTCTCATAAATGCCAGGCACTGCGGTAGGTGCTGGGAGTCGATTGTGAACTGCACAGACAGAGCCCCTGCTCTCACAAAGTTTATGCTGGATTTATAGACAAGAAAACCAGCAAAGGACAGTGTGATGCGTGCCATGACGGAGGATGCACAGGTACTAAAGGATCACATAGGAGGGAGAACTAAGCAGACTGGGATAGGGGGATGGTATCAGGGAAGCCTTCCTGGAAGAGATGACATCTAAGCTGAGACCTGAAAGAAGAGTAGGAGGTGCCCAGGTGATGAGGGGAGGAAAGCAGATGAGTACAGCTGGAGCAGAAGGGGAAGACTTATAAGAAATGAGGGTAGAACAGAGCTCAGGGACATGATTGGGCAGAGCCTTACTTACAAGGGGGCCTTTCTCCTAAGGATAATGGAAAAGCAACTGAAGGACTTTAAGAAAGGGGGGAAATATAATCAGATTTCCACTTTAGAGCATACCTTCATGCTGCTATGGGAATAGATCAAAGCAAGGAAAGGAAGGGTGTGTGGAAAGCCTCCAGGAGGTTGCTGCAGAGATCCAGGCAAGAGATGGGAGGACATGAACCTGGACAACAAAAGTGGGACCAGAAGGAGGAAGATAACTCAAGACAAAGGGGACACACCCTTGTGATGTAGAATCATCAGGCCTCACTGTGGAGAGAGGAGAGCTGGGGCTTATGACTTTGGTGACTTAATACTAAGCAAAGTGAGGATTGTAGGAGACAGGCAGATTGGTGGCAAGAGGGGACCCTGAAGAGTCTGAGGTACCCGTGAGGCATCTGAGTGGAGAGGTCCTGGAAGCAATCAGATATATAGGTCCAAGCTCAGGAGAGAGGTCTAGGGTATAGAAAAAAGATTCTAACAAAAAAGGAAGTTGGTATATGTCTGATACACAGGCTTACCTTTATTCATTCAATAAGTATTCATCAATTTCCTACTAGGTACCTGGAGGCAAGAGTTGAACTGATGCAGTTAATAGAGAACATTCCTTAATTGGGATCCTATCTACACCTCTGATGGGCTGTAATCATTTGTGTGGGACTCGCTGATTGAGGCTCCTTAGAGAAGCACTGTCATAACTGCTTGTTAGGAGAGATGAAGTCCTTGGGTTTAACTGTCTGGGGGAATTTCAGTCTTTCATTTTCTGCCAGGCCCAGGCTTAAAAGGCCACCACTCTGCTTTACTTCAGCTAGCAAGAAATTATCTTCCACAATAGAGCTACAAATGGGGCCCTAATTGATGAATTTGTGACTAGCCGTTCCCTTTGTAGTGGCAGTAGCCCAGTTTGCTCTTAGCTATACCACCCTTGGGTCAGGCCTCACACACTGGGTGTATTCTACTGGATTTTCGGCCAAAGGGACAGGGACCTTAAACATCTATTTTGCCACAATAGAGCCTGGGCAATACCTTGTTCTCTCGCTCCCTTTTCTCCATGTCTCAGTTTCCCTCAGTGGGAATGTGGGAAGTGGTCACCGATCAGGCTAACAATAAACACATAGGAATTGCGTCCTTTCTAGCATCGGGGCTTGTGAGGAGCATGGAGAAGACTGAGACATTGGCCGTTCCCTCAGGGGGGCTGCAGTCTAGCATGACTGGTACTCCCTGGTCCCCCATTCCTCTGACAGTGGTAGGTGCTCAGTAAGGTTTCAGTTTCATTCTCTAGATGTTGAGTTCTAGATCCCAGAGCTGAATGTGAGCTTGGAGAGGAGTATGCCAGCGTGTGGGTCACAAAGAACCCTATTACTCCTGTGACTGGGACACTTCACATGGGACTGGTGGCCCCCTGGGTAGGACATCCTAAAGAGCCCTGCCTTCAGCTGTCTTCATGGCTCTGGCTGGCTGACCTGAGTGAGAATGGTTGAATCAGTGATTCAATGTTTCAATGACCTGAATCAAAAATGCTGTTCTGCCTCAGCCTTTGCCGGCACTGACTTGATAATGACACCAGTAAGTGTCATTTAGTATCTGCTCCCACTTTGGGACACCCCTGAATAAGCCCAGATATAAATAATAGCTGATCTTTCTTGAGCGTTTACCACATGCCAGATGTGTGGTTTATGTGAAATAACTCATTTAATCTCACAATATCTCAGTGGGATAAAGTGCTATTACCATGTCCTAGGTGACGAAAGCAAGGCACAGACAACTACATAACTTGTGCAACTCCATAAGCAGTAAAGCTGAGATCTGAACCCAGGCAATACTAGCCCCAGAACCTGCGCCCTTAACCTCCACACAAAACTGCGTCAAGCCGAGAAGCCAGTGGCCCACACCGTTTAATGGTCTGAAAGGTGCTGAGAGAGTCCTCATGCCTCCTGCCCTCCAGAATAGCCCTTCAAACGAGCTAGCAATGGGCTCATAATTCTACCACCAGAATAATTCCTCTGGCAGCAACAAAGCAAATCCCCTGGGAGAGGCTGAGGAGAGGAACACAGGAAGCCGGGGAGCCGTTCCAGCCTGTCAGGCTCCCATCAGCCATAGGCCCTTTCCCATGCATGGAGGTTAACCAGTTCCTTCCCAATTCTCCCAGCGGGTGGGAGCTGGGGTGGGGCAAAGGCGGGTACCAGCTTGAAGCTGGGGATGTGGAGACAAGTGGGGAGCGAGGCCTGAGTCTACAGCTGAACACACTGCAACTCTGAGAGAGCTCCAACTTTACTTACTAGCACTATAAATTTGGTAAAGGTAATTAAGCACTGCAAGTTTCCATTTCTCCAACTGCAAAATGGGAATAACCAGAGTCGCTCTGTAATCTTGTTGTGTAAATTAAGTAAGGCAATGCTTACAAAGCACTCAACACTGTGCCCCACACGTAATGAGGACATTAAAATGGTAGCTCTTGTGTAATTACTACTACTGCTCAAGGAAAGAAGCCTGATAAAGATGCTGGGAAGCCAGTGGGCAAGGTGGGCAGCTGAGGGGCAGCAGGAAAAGGACTTCAAGGAGACGGACCACCCTCACTGACTCTGTGACTACTTTGAGGCTTACTGTGCATCCATTCAGTTATTTGTCAGCCATTTCGACTCAGACCTACTATGTGTGGATACTGTGTTAGGTGATGTTGGGGGTTGAATTAAGTCCTCAAAAAAGATGTGCTGAAGTTCTAACCCCTGTTGCCTAAAGATGTGACCTCATTTGGTAATAAGGTCTTTGTAGGTATAATCGAGTTAAGATGAGGTCATACTGGATAGGGTGGTCTCTAATCCAACATGACTTGTGTCCTTATAGAAAGAAGAGATAAGACGCACACACAGGGGAGAGTCCATGTGAAGACAGAGGCACAGACTGAAGTAATGTGTCCACAAGCCAAAGAACAGCGAGCACAGCTGGCAACCACCAGAAGCCAGGAAAGAGGCAAG